GCTAAAATAATCAAGAAAGGCAAAGCATTTAGGTATTATATTTGAAATTAATTATTGCCACAACAAGCATTGTTGTTTGTAGTAAAATAGAATAATTTTTAAAATTGGTCTTAGATTAAGGTCCTTGAAAATTTTGTTGAGGTCCTTGAAAAGTCCTGGAAAGTCCTTGAATTTCAATCTCATCATAGAGTGGGAACCATGTAGGTTATCCGATACAAGTAATACAAAGGTTTGAAAAAATAAATCATAAATTTTCTCTGCTCATTTTTTAATGCTGTAGTTTAATTTTTAATGAGATTATATTTGTTTATATCATTTAAGGGATTTTTAATAAATTAAATTTTTTTGATGCTTTTATTTTGTAGGCGGAGATGAAATGCAAGAAAGCCTGTAAGTGTTTTTTTATATTTTTAATATGCTTAATATTAAAACAAATACAGCGATGATTGTGCTCCAGAAAAAATCGAGATTTCCGGATTTTTCGCTAACCTCGATCCATAAGTTTCTCGGAATCCAAGGTCCAGAAATTTCAAGAAATCATCCATCGCATTTATAAATAAAAATTCTTGTATGTTTTTTTTTTTTTAAAATATTAGAACTAGAATTTATACTTTGCATCTCTTTCATTTGTAAATATTTTTTCTGGTAGAATAATAAATATGATTAGAGATAAAAGTTAACTTATACAGAATTATTCATTTAAATTATGCTTCATATAATTTATTTAGAATTTCATGTTTTAAAAATATTGATGATTTAAATTTATAAACACATTAATTTTTTGAAATGCGTCATTAATGATTTTACTCAAGAAATTTTCAGGATTTTTGAGTTGAACTCACAATCACCCCTGTAAATATATCTTCTTCATCAATTTGATAAAAGAGTGGGAACCCTGATTTAATTGAAATTATCTTTAATCAAAGAGGGAATTTTATTTTAACCGTTTTTATCACATTTGTTATTACTCTGATAGTTTAATTGCAAATTTCGAAAAAAATACTGTCCAACTAATTTAATTTGGCCTTTATCAAAGACTGCATAGAAATCTCCAAGTGTAGTAGACTCTTTAAAATCTGCATGGTTTCAGACTGGAGGATTTGTGGCTTTTAGGTTGTTTAGATATTTATTTCAATTTTAACTAGGCAGTGTTTCTTCGTGTCTGAATATATAGAGTATATTTGAATCTAAATGTATTTTGATGCGATTTTTATTTGTGTCGAAAATGAACATTTAAGGATAAAAAACATATAAAATTTAAGTATAATTTATTTTTATTTTTTATCTGATTTTTAAATCTTTCAACTATATAGTTTTCTTGAGTTCTCCCCAGGAATAAACAGGGACATGGTGCTTCCTCACGGAAAAGGGCACTTTGATTTTTGAAATAGCACTCACTTCGTTAAAATTTATCAAAATGTGTAATATTATGTAATAATTGTATTTGATCCTCAGCAGTTTTTAAATTATCCTCTTATACTATTATATGCGGGTAATTCAAAAAGTAATTTTCACTCATTATCAAAATACGAGAAAATTTTGTAGTACATAAGAAATAATTAAAGGCATGCTAAAAGACAATTATTGTGTAGAAATTTTTTTCAAAAAAAGTAACCTAAAGAAGAAATTAATTTATAAGCAACTTGAAAGCTTTTTTTTCTCTTAAATTTAAATTGAAAACTTTGAGAAAGTGAACATTTAAAGGACATGAACATTTAATAATCATTTAAAAAAAAATGTAATTATTTAAATAATTTTAAAATTTAAAGTATCTTAATTTTTTAATATCCATAAAGAAGAGAAACTTATAAAAATTTAACCAGTTGGGAATAATCTTAATGATAAATATTTGTAATAGTATTAAACCTGTAAACAAGAATTAAACCTATAAACAGGAATTAAACCTATAAACACAGATAATTTCACTAGTGTATAATTATTATTTAACCGACCGGCTTGTGTAGGGGGCAGGGAACTGCCCTTTCATCAGAAAGGTACTGTTTTCGAATCGCGGGCAAGGCATGGATGTTCTTTCCTTCTTTGTACTATCTGTACTTACTGTGGGAGTGACGTTGGCCCACCTAATATGATGCCCCTATAAGAGAAGTCAACAAATCGCCCTGTAGACGCCTGAATCGACGGATGTTAACACAGGCGGGCATTAGAAAAAATTAATAAAAATTATTATTTAAATAGTGAATTAATTTTTTTAAAAATGGAGTATGAATAAAAAGGCAGCATATTTAAGAAATGGCAGTTTTTTATTTATCTGTTATTTTTTTTTATAGAAAGGACACATAAAAGGGCAGGTTGCCCTTTTGAAAACGCTTAAGAAGAACATTGCTTTTCTTTATCGCAGGTTGTAAAATAAAGACACAGATGGAATCATTCACGAATTTGAAAATTTATGCAAACTTTATTTAACTTAAGTCATAAAAATTATTTTATTTGGAAATTTAACTTTAATTGAGTTGTTTACTTTTAAAAATAAGTGAAAATTTTAGGATAGCTTTTTTTTAAGTATTGATATTGAAAAACAGCATTGGAAATTTGATAAAGCAAAAATTTAAGAAAAGAATAAAGAACAATTGAACTTTTTGCTGTTTACATGTTTGTTTAATCCCTTTTAACCCAATTAACACTGTTTATTTTAATGTAGTTTAGAAAAAAAAAATTCATCAAGAGAAAACTTTCATGCCGAACTTTATTTTACCAGTTTCAAGCCCGTTCCTAACTAACTCAATCCCTTTTATAATACTCAATAAATTATTCTCTCATATGACATGTTCACGAATCAAAATACTCCACTGCCATTTAAACTATGAATTATAAAGAGTCTGAGAATCATTTATAAGACTGCTTTGTTATTAGTACAGTAAAACTTGTGTAAGTTGACCACTTGTGGTGCATTGTTTTAGTGGTCAACTTAGACAAGTGGTCAACTTATAGAGGGGGTGGGTCATTGTTTATGTTTACTTTTCCGTTTCCTATATCATGTTGCTATTTAATTTTTTTTTTTACTTGACTTAAAAATTTTATTCAGAAAATATGCAAATGAATGTCTTAAGAAATGTGCTTAAACCTGAATGAACTTCAATTTGATATATTGTATAATTCTAATAATTAGCTAATTTTTTAAAAAAAATTTATTTCGTTAGTTATGCATGTGAAGTGTTTAATAAATATAATTTCTTAAAATATCAGAACACGAAAACATGTAATTTGAAAACTTTAACAAAATAAAATTATTTGAACACTTTAAAATTTATTTACTACACTTAAAAATCAAAGACCATAAATAAAGGATCAAAGCATATTTCAGAGCATTCATTTATTCAAATGCTCACTATTGCAACTGGAAGAATAACTTTTCAATTAACACACCTGTTTTCAATGAACGGATGAAAGAAATAGTCAAAAGCTTACAGTTTCCCTTGATGGTCAACTCACAAAAGGGTTTAGATTAGCTTTTTACACTACAGCCAANATTTTAACATGCATTGCCAAAATGACAGAAAATTTTCTTAATTTTTCTTTTCTGGTCAACTTATGAGGGTTTTAGAATAGAATTTCATAATACTCCTATATAAAATTGACATATTTCAGTGGTCAACATACAAGATAGACAGGTGGTCAAGTTACAAAGGTTTTGCTTCTTTATATTATATAGGAAAAATTCTGTTCTTGATAATTGAGGTCAACTTATGCAGGTGCCCAACTTACAAGGGTGGTCAACTTAGCAGGTTTCACTGTATAATTTTTAAAACTTCAAATAATGATATTCAAATTTGCTATCATATTTTAATTAAAGTTATTTTTTGTGATTGATTTTCATTATATATATGCATTTAAAGCATTGTATTTATTTTATTAAATAAATAATTGGCATGAATTTTTTTTTTAATGAAATGCATTTTAATTACATTTATCTAAAATTTTTATATTGATTTATTAAAAAAAAATTTTTTTCTTCTGAATATTGGTATTTACAAATAACTCTCTTAAAAATAAAGCTTTTTTATTTATTTTTTAAACTGGAGTATCAGAAAGTATTATATTTCTGTTGCCTAAAGTAATGTAATTATTTTTATTGCTATTTGTTTGTCTTGTATTTAAGTATGATTGTTCTTTTTCCGTTACAGGTGATGATTACAAATTTTATATTGATAAGTATAGCACTGTTCGCGAAGATTTTGAAAAGAAAATGATGGTGACTTGTGAGGTAAGTCTTGTACTATATCTTGTTTAAAGAATTCTTATGTTTTTCATTATATTTTGCAATTTTTGAATAATTTTTTTTGTTTAGTGCAAGTTTCCCTTTCTACCTTTTACTGATGTAAACTGGGATCAAAAATTTTAGGACCTAGTTATTCTGACACTTAAATTATTCTAACTGGCATCTCAGTTTGTAGTTTTTCTATTCAATAAAGTATAGACATTTTAACGGGTCAAAAATTTTTTAAAATTTTGTCTACCTCATATTTTTAAAAAAAATTAGGTGTTAAGTATTTTTGTATTAATTTGTTGTATTATTTTGTATTTATTTAAAAAAATAGTAAAATTTAAAATCACAACAGAACTCAATGTACCCTCCAGATAAAAGATGTGAATATCTCTGAGGCCAAATGTCATGCATATTTTAATTATATAAAAAAAAAACAACAAAAAAAATCTTATTAAAATTAAGGAATGAAATTGAAAATTAAAGTTAAATAGTTATCAGTAACTAAATAAATCAGAAGTGGACTCTTCATTAAAACAGATGGTTACATGTAATCATATTTATAACTTGTTGGTATATTAAAAAAGTGCTTAATATGGTGTCTTTCTAATATCCTTTATCTATTTTCTTCCTCTCTATTAGCACTTTCAGAGCATAGAAGAAGCTCATATCAAACAAATAAAAGTTTTCCTTTCTAATTATGCTCATGTGCTAGAAAGTGGACATGCATTAATAGGACAAGTAAGTACACATTTCGTATTTGTTTTGTATTTTGTTCCATATATTAAAATTTCAAAACCAACACTGAAAATATTGATGTAGATGACCGAAACATGAAACTTTCCTCTTACTTGTTTTCATTAATAAAAGCATTTCTTGATGAAGTAAGAGGAATAGAATTAAGGAAATATTAAAATTAAAGATATGAACTCATAAAAGAGATTAATTTTTAAGGAATCAAAGATAAATATTTAAAAGTTATTAACAAATTGAATATGGTATGGAGTGGATTTGTTGTACAATGAATGTGATTTTGAAATTTTGTTTATAAATATTCTTGTGAGGCTGATTGCTTTGATCTTGCGAGGATTCAAAAAGAATAACTTAACTTTGCAAGGAAAACTGGTATTGATATTTATTCATTCTTTTTGTACTGTTTTATATGGACAGATAAATAATTTATTGCCTAGCCATGCATAATGACAAAGTGTGAGCATTCTATAAAACATGTATTTATTTCTGACACTTTTTGATAAAATGGGGTACACACAATTTATTTTGGAATTACAAAAAATTTTCTTATGTATTGTCATTATTATGGCTGTAGTGATTGGCTCACAGCTAGACGGCGAGTTAATCACTAACCCAATTAAAGAATTAAGAGAAGAGGAGCCGGCGTGTAGGCTGGTTTTTCCTTTATGAGAATATCTTTTTATATTTCTGTATTTTGGCCGCTGAGGGCCCTTAATATTTTCATAATTGTTTTGTTTATTGTTTTAAATATTAATAAATATATTTTTGTTGCTGTTGCGCTTGGATATATTTCAAAAGCAATAATCCTCATGACATTGGCGCATTAGACGCCAGGATTCGAACTGAATCACGTGAGTAATTTTTTTTTCTTCATATTTGTATGGAAAATGACTTTCCTAGTGAAAGGTAGGAAAGAGGATTTGCAGTTTATTGCTGCTGAATTTGGTGTTGAGAACACCCAAGACTTAAAACTTTATAAATTAAAAATAGCGATTGTTGAGAACGCTAACTATGAAGAAAATTTTGTTAGAGAAATGTTATTTTCAATAATTGATAGACAAAAAGAAGGAAATGAAGAAATGAAACGAAAGGAAAATATGGAGTTAGAATTACGAAAAGCTACTTTAGAATCAGAAGAGGCGAAGCTCGATTTGGAATCCCAGTTAGAATGTGAGAAAATAATTTTTGAGAAAACAAAGCTTGAGAAAACTTTGGCATCAAATATTTCATATTTAAGTACCTTAAGACTGTTGATTGCATTATAATATTTTTGTGTAAAATTTTAAATTGCTTACGTGAAATTTTGTTGCACCAACCTTATTTTTTCTTTATAAGTTAAAGTTTTTATTTTCTAGGTGCATGTAGAATTTTTGCAACAATGTAATGAAATGGATGTCGACAAGCTTTTAGAGCATATGATCAATGAACGAGGTACTGGAACTGAAAAACCAGGTGCGTTATTTTTTCAGGATTATCTATTCATTTAAATTGTTTACTTGTTTTTATTTTAGCTGATATATACTAATTATAATTTTAATTTTCAGAACTTTAAAAATTTAATGGTTAAATTTGATTGATTTTGACAATTACTTTAGAAGAATTATTTCACTTTTACTTGTCTTCTGATATTTGAGATAATATCTTCAAAAGTTCCATAAAAAAAAAGAACAGAGTAATAAACAAACCGAACCAAAAGAGACCTTTTCTTGATTTAAGTTTCTTACTTCAAATTTCTTATCGATTCTTTTCTTTTTCTTTAAATTAGTTGAGTATTATCTTTTTTCGAATGGGAGGGGGCATGCCATTTTAAAAATAAATTTAAATAAAAAAAATTAGTTCTTAACCGTATAATAATAGTGGTACTTCCCAGATAGCACAGGTCTCTTTGAAATGAATATTTTGACACCATTATTGTTAAAATTGGAAATACCATATAAACTTCTGCCATATAGCCGATTTCTGTTGAGGCTAAATTATCTGTTATGAAAAGGTTTTCTTACTTAATCCTTTAAAACTGGTTTTCAAATTTGAATTGTTTATTTTTTTTCTCTCTCCATTTATGATAAGGGCCTGTAAGTTTTGAAGATGCTGACTTGTCTCCAATAGGACAGCCTCAATCTCCGGACTCATCAGAAAATCACAATGAAGAAAAGTCATACAAGAAAGAAGGTAAAAAAATGTCACTTCACCGCAAAAGCAAACCATCCCGCCGAACCACTTCCTTACTGGACTTGTTTTTTTCATCATCCCTTGGTATGTTTTCTTACCTGCTGCTTCCAATGCACCATGCCATAGTTCTCTTGGCATGTCTGGTTTTAAGATTGCTTTTTCCTTCCAAGTAAACTCTTCCTTGTGAAAAGCCTTTCATAAAAGTTATTTTTGATGTAAAGTGTAGTATTATAAGAGCTGTAATTCATGTTTTAAGAATTATGGAGAAAAAGAATTAAATTATATTTTTAAGAATATTTACTATTAGTTTTATATTTCATAGCTGATAATTTATTTCTCTTATTCAAAAGAAAAAGTAAGGACTACAAATATTTATAATTAAATAAGTAATGAATAAACTATGCATCATTACTTACTGTTTATTTTCACATTTTTGTGCTATTTGTTTAAAAAAAAAAATTGGATTAGTTAATTTCCTATGCAAATTCTTATTCTTTCATCTTAATCCGCTAGTGTTTTTTATTGTGTCTAAAATGGATGCTCAGGATAGTACTCAGTTACAAAACTTTTAGTATTAAATTGCTCTTATAAGTGTAATAACTTTTAGTGTTAAATTGCTACCCAAGATTTTGTCTTTAACACCAGTGGTTCTGGATCTTCATCACTAATATAAAATGTAGATTTTGTCAAAATATAATTTTATGTATTATATATTATTTATTAAATTTTTTGTTTTTTAATCAGCAAAGCAATGAAAAATTTTTTCTAAAGCAATTTTTAAAAAAAATTATGAATTTATAATAATGTAGAACAGCAATTCCCAATTTTTAACTATGGAACCCTAAATGGCAGCAAAACACTGACTTTATAAGGATAGTATATATTGGCAATTTTATTATTAAGAAAAAAATGCTACTTTGTTTTAGAAATATTTAATAATAGGAAAGAAATTTTTTAATATTTTTAAATTATGTTTTACGTTCGACAGTTATGTATGTTATATTTTCTGACAAATTTCTTTTTTGTTTATATATCTAAACTAAATATGAATGAATTAAGTTGAATAACTTTCGTCAAAATTAAAGCAGAAGTTAACTGCAATAAATGTTGAAAATGGTTAATAAGGAAGCATGTTCCTTTATTAAAAAATTTAGTTATTTTATTTTGATTTTAATAGTGTAATGGGAAATACTATTTCAATTTTTTTAAAGCATAGTTTTTTTATAGTTTTATGCTTTTTTTATAGCGTTATTAAAAAAAGCATATTTTCTTGAAAAAAAATGAAGTACTTGGCATTTTTTATTTATTTACACTTAATTTTAAATAATTTCGTAAAAGCAATCAAAATATGAAGTAAATAATTGGTTTTTGATTGGATCTAAATGTAATTGCAGGTTTCAAAAGCATTTGAAAAAAACTTTTCTAAAGTAACTGAAAAAACTGCACAATTTTATTTGAAATCATGATTTTTATTACGAGAAATTACAATACTAACACTTATGTTACGAAGCTTATCTTTTGATTATTTAATAAGCTTAAGAATAATTTTTTTAAAAATCTTTAAATAAGGATAATGAATAGTTTTTGTAAGGATAATTAATAGTTTTGGAATTTTATTTAATTGTGATTGAGGGGTATTCACTTTCTACCTTATTATATATATGTTTTATACTTTATCAGAAAATTTTATACACATTCATCAACAACTTAATCTGATCCTTGTTTACCTACCATTTTTTTATAGTAATAATTTATTGTTGTTATTAGGGAAAAACGTTTAGGAAATAATTGCTTTAGGGTTGTATGGTATTTTTTCCATGTCTGGTAAAATCAATGCCTTAGTGTTAATAAAATGTATTTCTTAAAGGGACTTAACAAGATACTACATAGTTTGATGATTTTAGCTTTTACCACTTATTTAATTGTCACATTTTAAATTTTATTGCATGTCCATATAAATATAACAACAGTTTTTTTTTTATTATTTCAATATTCTTGAATATTTGATTATTGATTTGAGAAATGAGATAGGTAATTTTGATTCCTTAAGCTTTTGAAAAAAAGTTTTCATATGATATCTTTTGATTTGACTAAACAGTTGTGTCATTTTGTTGAGGGCAGAAAACTTTCATTACTTACATTATTTTTATAATTGATTTTTATTTAAATGTGCAGTTTGATCGATTGTGCTTTTTTTTAAGTAAAGAAAGAATTTTTTTTTTTTTTAGAAAAATCAGAATATTGTTTTTTCCCCCCATTTAGTATAAAAATTAATTTAAAAAAAGCAATACAAAGTAAACAATTTTTAAAAAAACCATTTACTTTTTATTTTAGGAAATGAAAAAAAAAATTTTTTTTCTTTCAAAAAAACTGATACGTTATTATCCAAATGTAATTTTATACAATTATTTAATAATCATAATATTTAACTGTCAAATTAAAATCAAATAAAGAGAAAAGATTAAAAATTTTTTTTTTACTTAAACTTTTCGATGCTTTGTTAAAATTATAGGCATAACTTTTTAACAAATGGAACTAGTTTTTTAATGGTTAGCTACAGTAGTTACCTATAAAAACCTGTTCTTTGTTTGCCGAGATAGTTTTTTGTTTTGTTCCTGCTTTAGCAGCCTATTAAAATTGGATTATTCATGAGTATTTGTAACACTTAAACATTTAAACACTTACATTTTAAATATGTACACTTGTTAGAAAGATTCGTTTATGTTTTAGAGTGCTTTATAGAGTATGTCTTTTCTTTATAGATTATGTAAGTACAGTATTATACATATTTGTGTGCTACATAGTTATAGACTGTTATTATATCTGTGTCTGTATGGTTAGAAATTTGTTCTAGTAGAATCATGTTTATGATACAGCAAACATTTCAAATAAGCAATATATTTTCTTTATAAATCGTTTTAATAATTTCTTTTTAAAAGTCCCTACCATGATTATTTATACTTTGATTCATGTATTTAATTTTTTAATTGTCGAAATTTTTATTTCTTAATTGTTTTATCCTTCATATGAACATTAGTTTTTGAAGGTTATAAAAAATAAAAATTGTTCTATTTAGTTGAATAAAAATTTGTTACTCATGCTACCTTTGAAAAAATCAATAATAACAAAAATATTATTAATTTTCATTGACAAGTTACATCATATTTTGATTATGCTATCAAAAAAAAGGGAAAAAAATTAAACATTTAATTGTAATATATTTTTCATTTATTTATATATTCATTTTACGAAATTTAAATTGAATATCAGTTCTGGTAAATTATTTATACCTAATTAAGGTATTAACTTTTAACTTTCTTTAGTATTATGAGCAGACTTCAATTTATTCAATGAAAAAATATATGTATGCATTTAAGAAGTAATGTCAGTACTAGCTTATTTTAATTAGTATGATAGATGAAAATATTTCTATAGTATTTTTTTAAAAGATTTTTTGTTTTAACTGTTAGATAATTGATGCAGATTTTTTGTTTTGCCATTTGCAAAATTCTTTCATACAATGGCTGAGCTTGTATGCAGTTAATCTTACAAGTATTCAAAGTTAATACAAATTGTACCAAGAGCAGACATATCAGTTACTACAAATTTTAGTTCCGATAGCATAATCAAGGAAAGTTTTTAGAAATAATAAAAAAGTAAAGTTTAAAATTTTTTTAATTATGCATCTTTTTTGTTTCTTTATTTTTAAATTTTTGAATGATCTCTTCATGTAATTTATGTTTTATGTCCTTTTTAACTTTATTTATTTAGAAATAAGATTTGAAACTATATTTCATATACTTCTCTGAGTTGTAAATATTTTTAATTATTAAACCATTTAGATATTGAATTTTAATATTTTTAATTAATAATAATATTTTTATTTTTTAAATAAAGGTCAACTTTAGAATTTTATTTAACCATACTATTTTTGCATTTTAATATTATTAGAGAAAGCGCAACAGAAAATAAGTTATCTCTCTTGCTTCAGAGAAACTACTTCTCATGGCATGTTATCCTTATAGCAATTGTAGCATCCAAAAGTAAATTCACATTATTCGAGAAAAAAAGATCAATTCATTATTTCTTTAACTAATATTTGCAAGGTAATTAAGTGTTTATGTGTAAATGTAATGGAAATTCTAATTAAATGACAGGAATATAATAATTTGTTATAACATTGAACATTTTTTTTCCTTTTTTTAGTACTCTTTTTGAATTGTTTAAAGTAGTTTTAGTTGCTAGTTTTATTATTTTTCTATGATCAAAATTAAATATTTAAATTTTTCAAATCAATATGTAATAATAATTTTGCAAATTAAAATGTAATAAAATTTAACTTGGAACACATATATACTATGATTTTGCTCCTCATTTAAATGTCACAACCAAACATTCAAATCAACATGAAAGTACCAGCCATTGCATATTTACCAACTTATTAAGTGACAACTTATGCACTTAATGATGATAAACATGTCATAAAAATTTTTACTATGGTTCCCAACTTATGTATTGATATTTTGTTCCCATTCCTTGTTCAAAGGTATTTTTAGGGATGCTAAATTTTTTGAAATTTTTATACTAATGTGTGTCTCCAAGGTATACCAAATAAAAGAATTGAAAGATTCAGAAAAGAGGTTTGAAATGTGGTAAATAAGGGCTGCTGTTTTGGTTCTGCTAGAAAGTTAAGCAAATGTGCCTTACACCATTACTGAGTACCTTTAGCTCTTTGTGTTAGAGCATAATTCTGTTCTCTCTTTTTTTTTTTGAAATATAGTTTAAAAGTTAAAAGGTAACATGCTAGTGGTAATTAGTTTTTGATTTTTGATATTGATATTATCAAACTAGTTTTTCTTTATTTTAGATCTAAAATCAGTAATACTCCTTTCTAATCTTATTTAATAAATAACTTATTTGAAATATTTGCTGATGTCATGAGCTGGCTTTAATTGTTATAATTGCCATGATATTTATCAAAATTATTTTCAATTGGCATGATGCTTGATTAGTAATTAGATGGCTTGCATATCCCAGCATGGCGTCTTAGCTAGTTGGGGGTTCTGCTCATCTCTTGGGGTTATGCACTTGAAACAAAAAGTGTATTTTGTAGTGTCTTTGAATGAAATTTTCTAGGTAACTCGGATCCCAGTGGAGTGACCAATTCAACGCCACCAAATAATCAGGTCATTGAGAATGATAATGATGTACCAAAGCCTACACCCCCTATCGGTAACACACTGAATAGGACTAACTTCCGAGCCTCAAAATGTAATTCAGCTTTTATGTTCTATTTGCCTCCTTTATTTTTAAAAAATGCCAAATAATTTATGTAGCCAATAGTTTATTTTAAGCTTAGTAATTTAGATAGTCTATCATATTTGTACTTTCTACATTTTTATGTGAGAATGATTAGATATTTTAAGAATAAGAAGTGTGAGACTATAAGCAAAATTTTCTCACCCTCATTTCGTAATATGACTAGTTTTCGCGATTGATAACCTATACTGCAGACATCTGTTGCTTTACCTACTTGAAAGCTGCTGTGATGATATATAGAAAATAATTCTGCTGAGATACATGACTTTGACTTTATTATGTTGCCACCAAAAAATTTATAGTTAAAATTCTAATTAAAAGTTACTACTTACAACAAAAGTTACTAATATGTTGTCCTACCTTTATTTTTTTTAATTCAAATTTATGTGTAATTAATTGCACAGACCATCCAATCATGGCTAAGTACTATTTTAAAGGCTTTATAGTCATGGTAAGAATATATAATTTTGAATGTGGACAGTGCTTGAGCTGGTATTTCTTTCTCTCCCCAAGAAAGAATAACACAAACAAGAGGACTTTGCATCACGATGGATGTAACTTGCACCTTGCCGTATATTCAAGCAGATTGCTTAGTGGGCAGCCAGAATTTAGCTCGTGACTCCCAGTTTTTCACCAGCTGTGAGAGTGATACCCTAACTGACTGCTTCATCTGAGCAATGGCAAATAAATTACACTTTAATTACTAAACGAACTATTTTCCCAAAATCTAAATATGATTAAATAGTTTTCAAGTAATGAAAATCTTCATGTGCCTGCAGTTTAGATTTTACTACTTGACAATTTTTGCATTGTTATTTTTTCAAACTGAATCAATTTACATATATTAGTATTGGGTATAGTAATCGAAACTTACAAAAATACAACTTTCCTCTTTTGTATGAAGGTTTTAAAACTTGCATTTATTTTTTAGTTCTTTTTATCGTCCATTTAGTTATGAAAAATAAAATCTCTTTATTAAAGTTAGGTTTTAGTTAATGAAAAAAAAAAAATTGAGAAAAGGGCTTCTGTTTTTAAGTGTATATAAGTTGCACACTTTTATGTTTTTCTGTTATAGACATGACTATTTTTAACTCTTGTATGTGTCTTATATTCACCCTGTTGCAAAACCCTATTTTTCTGTCTCTGTTGCAAAAGTGACACACATTCGTTGTTCATCTCTTGACACATATTTACCCATCTCTTCCATACTAACTTCATTTGTTGGCGGTGATGGTTTGCTTGAAGACATTATATGCATGTTTATATGATGTTGTCATGATTCTGTTTCATACTATGTTCTGCAATTCTGTAAATGCTGATCTGTGTTATTGCTTTATATGAATGTTAATGTTTTATAATGCAGTTTCAATAGCCATGGAATGTATCTTATGTGCTTTTCTTTTTATCACTAAGGGTGTTTCTTATAGATTACAGGCATAGCTGGTATGTGAACTATTTATTCTGTATTTTAAAACTCTTTTTAAATAAGGAAAATAGAGTTAAGAATTTGACTATTGTGAAGGTAATTTTTTTATGTAAGTTTAGTTCTTTTTTTTTTAAGTTAGATTTTTTTTTTAAAAATTAATATGAATAATAATATTTGTAATTGTGCAGTAAATGTAATTTTTTTGTTACTTTTAGACATTTCTTTAAATTTTTTAAAATTTCAATTTTTTTTTTATTACTTAAAAAAAAAATTTATTTTCTGAAATATTGTTAACAGTTTATAAGTCAACCTGTGATAATTTTAAAAAAAAGATTAGTTAATCTTCTCATAATACTGCTGTGTTTATAAATCTATATATTGCAACCTGAAAAGAATTATCATGCAACTGAAAAGATCCTCATTTGATAGTTCATTAAAAAGTATTCTCTTATTTTGCTAAATCAGAATAGGAATAATTTTTAAAAAACAATACCACATAAACCTTTATTAGTTAGAAATTAAGTTACATTATAAGATTTTTAAAAAAAATACACATTATATTGCATTAATAGATTAAGTTAAATTAAAAAATTACATTAATAGATCAAAATTGAAATTATTCAAATTAAAATAATTGAGTTATTCTTGCAGTGGGGCTATTTAATTGGCATATTTTGCTAACATTCAAGATTTATTTAAATATCAAACAAAGTGATAAGCTTAAGCAACACATTATTTTTTTTTGTAATATGTATATAATTTTTGTAATTTTCTTTTAATTCTTAGTTTTTTTTTAAGCATGTGGTATTATTTACAGTTTTCATGATTTTAGTTTTGCTCAGGTCTTTGGATGTATTTCATTTAGTGCAAATAGCTGCTTGTAACTAATGTAACACTATATAATTTGAACTAAAATTGAAACTTTAAAAGAAGTAGATAGAAGAAAGACATCAAAAATGACAAATTGCTTAATTATTCAAAATCCTGAAAAGCACTTCATTTACAACAATAAAAAATTTTGTTGTAATTTTAAAGGCTGAAGGACAAAGTGTTCCATTTTCATGATATTGCTTTTGGGAAGCAAAGTTTCAAAATCTAGAATCTGCACTGAATGACTGACTAAAATTTATGAGCAATATTATAAGATGACCTATGAAAAAACTTTATTGTATATTTAACCTTACTATATCAAGTAGTATTTATACTTCATTGAAATAACAAAAGTTGCATATTTGTCGGTTTCATAATTTTATTTAAAGTGTAGCATGTTTTTGCCCAAATTTGTCCAATATTGATGAAATAGAGGTAAATGTGTGTATTAATTTTATATACTGATAATATAGAGACTTTTCGTTGTAGCGTCAATTTTCGTTTGGACCATACAGACTGTTATATCGAGCGTGACTCTATTTATTTTTAACTAAAACGTACAAATCCTATTAAAAAATATTTTCAATAGATGTTTTTTTTTTTAAATTTATTTTTGTTATTTTTAAATTTAAGTTTTATTTTATTTAAAGAGAATTTAATATTAAGAGTTATTTTATTAAAGAGAATTTAATTAAAGAGAAGTTAATATTTTGAACTTGTATTTACTTTTGTAAAATATTGCTTGATCTTCAAATTGAATAAATTTATCTAAAAGTAATTTTAAAATAGTTAAGACATGTCATATTTTTTATAATGCATCAGTTGTGATGAAATACTATTACCAGTCCTATATAACTTTTAACATATTCTTTTACCACTATTATACCACTCTTACAACAAATGTTAGTCCCTGGTATTTTCTTTCTTTCTTTGTGACTGAGCATGTAAGTACTAAGTATAATACTACTTTTAATCCTATTTCCAATTCAGCTTTAATGAAATGATAACATTCCATTGTATTAATAACTAACTCTTTGCTGTCTTTTCCCTATGGCTGTGGCTCGCATGGATCACAGACTGGCAATCCTACTGGAACTCCTGGAGTTCAGGTGGCTACAGTCTACTTTCTTATTATTCTAACATTTCTGTCATTAACAATTTTAGAGGATGTTGTTTCTCTTTTATATTAAAATGGTTAAATGCTTAATTTTTTTTATTTCTTATTGCATGTTTAATTATCATCAGTGAATATTGTTTGATATCATAAATTCTTTTTCTTCAAATCTTCTCTTAAAATCTAGTGTAGTATTAAAAAAATTGTTTTGTAATTTTTTTCTAGTCTCTAAGAAATTTTTTTCGTATAAAAAAAATTATAATACTAATTGAGCATTAGGGTGAGGCCAAACTTTTTCTTTTTGACTTGTAATAGAGCTACAAAAAACTACTTATGGTAAGAGTTAATGTTTAAATATTGACAAATATCTGTTAATGTCTTGGATGTACTGCAGCCACAAAGTTTTATTGTAATTTTTCACTTAAAATAATGATTTTAACTAGTTTTATTACAGTATTTTATTTGTAAAAGATGGTTATCTAATAAAAATGTATTAACTGATATTCCTAAAAATACCATGCCATTTTAAGGTGGTGTTGCATCAGTTTGTGTTAAAAAAATGCAACAAAAAAGAAAGTTTATAAAATTGAACTAGAATTCCAGTTACATTTTTAGATTTGAATTGAGGCAGCTTTTAAACAGCTTTGAACTTTTAAAGAGCTTAACTCTTTTTTAGGAAGAACAATTAAAATGTTATTAATATATAAATATCTTTTATCAGTAAAAGATAGTCAATAAAATTAGTTAAAGCATTACTTTTCATTATCAGATGAAGAAATTGAGGAAAAAAAACCTATTAAAAAGTAAAACTTCACAACAGTGCCCCTTCAAGTCATTTATCAATATTTGTTGCATTTTGCTCATTAACTAAAATCAAAGGTAACTTTTGACTGGTATTAAAATTTGAGGTGAAAAACTTTTTTTTTTCCCTACACCCTATTGTGTATGCATTGGCTTCAGAATTATTCATCTTTAAAGCAAAGTGTTTCAGAAAAATATGAAAAATAAAAAGTGAATCTGATATTACATCAAACCTTAATTTTTGACTTCTGTTATTAAATTTAGGGTTTAAAACAAGTTAATAATTTTCATTTGGCTAAATTTATTAATCTTTTTTTTTACTATATTTCTATTAACATGAAAGAAAATTTTGATATCAAATAATAAAAGTAATTTTTTTCAATAATTTAAATTTCAGTTGCTTTAAGGTTTTGCAAACTGCAACGATTTCCACTATGATATTATTTAAAGTTTATTTATTTTTTACATTTAAGGGTTTCTAAAGAGTAAAAGAGAAAAAAGAAAAGAAAAAAAGAAGAAGAAAATGAATGGTATTAAAGATGATAGTGGTGTTACCAGTGGAGATGGGTACGTTTTGTTATTTTTTTTTCATTTTAGAGTAATAATCCTTCCAAAAAAGTTAATATTAATTTTTATTTCTAGGTATTCTAAAGATGAACACAATTTAGATAACAAAATTATTGAAGATAAAGTTATATATTTTTTTTACAGACAAAATTTAGATAACAAAATTATTAAAGATCAATTAACTATTTTAACTATTGTAGATAACTATAGCCACATAATTTTTTCTTCTTACAAACTCTGACCCAAAGTTGTTTGCAAATTTTGGATTTTTAAGATCAATAAAAATTTGTGCGTATGCTTAGTTTATTTTGTTAGAAAAAGTTTTTATCATTTAAAATAAGCTGAGAAAATTGAACAAACGAGAAAATCTTAAAATTGAAGAAAATGTTACTTTAGAATGTAAAAAAACAAATGCTCAAAAATATTCTAAATACTATTCTTATATTCTTCTATAAATCTACTAAAGAAGAAAAGATGCTGTAAAATTCTAAGAAACCTTAATAGAGAAGATCTAAAAAAATGAAAATGTGTTGGTGTGATGGTCATCAAAATCAGGATCTTATAATGCATTAACATTTCACGATCAGTAAAAAGAATATACTCAATTTAAAAACTTGTGTAAAAATATACTTACAATTTTTCACAGTCTTTAAAGTGTTCTGAAATCAACTAATTAACTGGAAATTTTTTTTTAATTTGACTTATTTGTGAATTTTTTTCCTAGATTAAAACAAATAATAACAAAATTCTAAAATATGATGATTGATATTATAAATAGCTTGCCGAATCTGACCAATTCATTATTTTACAATTTAAGAAAAAAAAGTAAGGAACAAAATAATAAACATAGATTTGGAAAAAAAATTTTAAAATTAATTTTAGTAATTTGGTTTGTTAATTTTTATTTATTCTTAGAGAAACATTTTGATTCTAACATTTACTTTGTTTTGATATTGAAAAACATTTTGATACTAGATATATGATTGATACTCTTGTAATGCTACTGGTCAAAATGTCACTAACACAAATTGCTATAAGTTTTGATATGGGCTGTCAAATTGCTAGTTGCTGACCAAATATTAATCATTTGAACGTTTTCTCTAATATTTATTTTGTTTAATGTCTCTAATATTTATTTTGTTAATTTTTTGAGTAACTGATTTTTATTTATTTCCTTTTTTAGGGATTCTCAAGATAGAGTGGTAAGTGTTTTGAATTCAAAAAATTGCTTTTTGTTTGTCTTCTATTTAACTTTTTTCTAAATATTTTTTAAAATATCTTTTATTTTTGTAGACTAATCCTCAGATTGATGCTGAAGGTTTTACTATCAGACCTCCAGAGAGAAATCAAGAATGTATCCTTACTTTTGAATAACTTTTGTTTGAAATTTATATTTTATTAAAAGACTATTTGTTTGTGATTTTTGAAACAAAATTTATTTTGTACTTTATATTTACTTTTCATTTATTATATTTTATCTATACATATTTACATATTTTCCAATTTCTGCTTTTGCCAACAGATTTTTTTCAAAATGTTTATAGAGTGGTAGGATAATTATATATTTAATATCATAAGGACTTAGACCACCATTTTGTGTGGTTAATTTAAATAAACGTACAATATCCGATAACCGTGCCACACATTTTTCAAGTGCTGTCAAATTTTAAGAACTTAAACTTTTCTTATCACTACAAATATTGTGCTGAATTGGACTTTTAGGTTCACTTGCATGCTTTTTCTGTGTTATTATTTTATTTGAACTATATTTAAGTTATTTATAGTAAATTTTTTTAAGATTAACTTGTTTATATTTCAAGTCAATTCAATGAAAATTGACAAAGTAATGCAGCTTAGAATGTTGTTTATGATTGCGTGAATATAACTTAAATAGCCAGTGTATGAAAAACATGTTTTTAAAGTTTGACTTAATTTCTCCACATCCAATTTATGTTTCCTTTTTATGTTCAGCAGTAATTTTGTGAGTTCTTAATCATTCAATTTTTCCTCTCTGATTAAAATTTGATTTTTCATGGTTGATCACAGAATAATGTTCAGGGTAAAAAAATTAGTCCCTAAAGTTTGCAAAGTTTTGTTAATTACAGTTTTTAAAACTTTTAACTGAATGTTTAAGTATTAGTTTATATTATTATTAAATGAAATCCCGTCGAAATTCTTGATTTTTGATTATTTTTCTAAGAAAAAGAGATGACACCACAATCATAATTATTAATCACCTTTGACGAAAAACAGCCTCAAAAGATTCGTTTTTTTATTTTGAAAGTGTTGCTTGTTTTTTAATTTAAAATTGTGTTTGAGTTCTTACTTTACTGTTAAGTATAATCTCTTAAACTTTAAATGTTTTCTGTTTACTGTAGTAGGTTCAAATTTCTGTTAAACATATTACGAGGAAAAGATTGTTAGGAAAAGACATGAAACTACTGCAGTTTAGTGACATGTGATCTCAATGAATCTTTTTCTTGTATTTTTGTGTGTTTCTGTCGAAACACACAAAGTATTAAATGAAATTTAATCCTTTATTTTAGTTAAATAACTTAAGCATTTTTGTTTGTTTTATGCTGTGATTCCTACTATTCTTTCTTAATCATAATTTTAGATCAGAAAGATCCTTTTTATTCAAGTTCAGATAATGACTCTGGTAAGAAGTATTTTAATTTTTTCACTTGTCAACTTTATGCAGTATTAATATTGCTTTATTTTGTTTATTATTTTATTGATTTATTTTTATTTTACTTATCTCTGTATAAATATTTTGTTCATTTAAAAAAATTGGTGAATTGAAATTTACCATTTTAATTTTTAAAATTTGATCTAAAAATATATGAAATTTTTAGATCACTTCCTTATTAGAATTTTTGTGCCCTTTAATTATTTGCTATGGGACTTCATTATTTCAAAATATCTACCTTTGTTTATCGTTCATTATATTGGTTCATTTGCAAACTAATCCCATAATAATTTTTGTTGCTAACCTCACTGTGTGTCTTCAGATAATACTTATGTTGATTAAATATTTTCAATTTGTTAGGTTTTTTCTAATAAAAAGTTTTCTCAGTTCTTCAAATTTATTTTTATATTTGACTCATGTCTTTCACAAATATATTGTGTTAAATATTTTTTACCTAAAAAACATAACAAAAGTTCATTGACTGAAGAAAAGTTCACAATGAACTATTTACGTAAATATGACTATTTACATAATATTACTATGTTAATGTATAATAAAGAAAAAATATATTAACAAATAATAAAGTAAGTGCTCTTAAGTAAAAAGGTTGAACATTTCTTTTTTAAAATTGTTAAAATTATTCTGTTTTAAAATCTTAAAAAAAATTGCAGCAGCAACAAAAGGCAAATAATTTCATCTAACTTCTTAGATCAGTTGCAAAAACATATCTTATTCATGTGTCAGCAAAGACCTTTAAAAAAATAAGTATAATTAAAAACTTCATACAAAAAGTGATAGGTGGAAATTGAATATTGTTAACTTGCCGAAATTAATATCTAAAAGATTAAATATCAGGTACATTTAAATATTTAGTTTTGTATGAATATAAAGAAAAAATGATTGCAAATTGTGTTAAAATTCTATATATTTTAAAATGATCTATCAAATGAATATATCTGTTATTCTTTTGTTAATTATTTTTAAACCTTCCTCACTTCAAACATCAGCGGCAATTATTTAAACTGTTTTTGACCGAAGCCACGTGTTATTCAGTGTAGTCTGATTTGTATGAGTGTCTTCTCAAAGAATGTTTCGATACATAGTGAGGTGATGTTAGAGGTACGCATTTATAAAAATAAAGTTTTCACTATATTATTATAACTTTTGAATGGTTAACGATTTCCAAATAAGCATGTGTTAGTAAAAAAATAAATATGTATAAAAAAATTACCCAATTATTACCTCAAACTAAAGTATGCTACGACTGACTTGGAAATTTTGTATCATAAGCATTATTTTTTTCAAAATTCAAATTTTTTAAGAAAAATTAATATTTATTATTTAGATATATTTAAATTATTATTAATTTGAACTTTAAAAAAATCTCCCAGGTGGAATATTTAAGCTCAACTACACACTTGATAATTATGCTGTGTGTGTATAAAACTATCATTAAACCTCTATCATTATTTTTCAAAATTTATTTCTTAAACATTTCAGCTTTCACTGATTCATTTCTTAAATTTTTTTAATACATTTAGCATTTTAAATGCATATTTCTTATTTATTAATAATACTTTAGATGCTACTACTGCATTTTCTCCATTGGGTGAGTGCATCTTTAAATGTATGATTCTTGTTTTCCCAATCTATTTTTACTATATCTAGTTTCTGAAAAAATGATTGCAAATAGCTTTGTTTTTTTTTCTTCACTATTCTAATTATTAATCATGAATTATAGATGATGATGAAAAAGATTGTAAAAATAGAATTCATATTGAAATTAAACCTGTGAGTAACTGCACTGGTATGAGTGCTAGTAATGATGAGCTTATAGCTACTGTGGGAAAATTTTCTTTATCACCGGATCCTCAGAGAACAGTAAGTGGTAATCAAATACTTTGGTTTCAATACGCTTGATAATTGTTTTACTTTTATATTGTAACTGATACGCTGTTTGAAATATATTTTGTGTTAATTTTTTTACATTGTACATTAAATTTTAAACAATTAAAGTTTTATCAAAAGAATGATTAGGACAATTAAGTGATATGTTATTTAAAAAAAAAAAAAAATTTGTGCAAAAGGATTCAATGTAGCTCTGTTTTGCTTTTTTTCTTTTTTCGAAATAATTGTATTAATAATCCAACATTTATTAAAGACAGCATTGAATTATGTTTTCTGCTTAGCATGAAAATTGCAAGAAAAAGTTCTTATATATTATTCAATGAAATATATTATTCAATCTTCTTATATATTATTCAATCTTTTTATATTATTCAATGCAAAAAGATTAGATAAAATCCCAAAAATATTTATAGAAAATTTTTCAGCTTAGCATAAAAATTGCAAGAAAAAGTTCAATCTTTTTATGTTATTCAATGAAAAAAGATGAGATGAAATCCAAAAAATATTTATAGGGAATTCCTCGAAGCTTAATTCAGAAAAATTATAAGCTTTTGTGACAAGTTAAAAATTTTAATTGTTAGAAAATTCATAGTGTATTTAAGTAAAGGAAATTAACTTTTGCAAATATAAGTTAATTATTAACTATAGACAGTCAAATCAGTAAGATAATGCTTTTTAATTTCAAAATATATGAAAAAAAGTTATAACTTTTCATAATTTTGTTTTAGCGAAGGGTAAGTCAAATTAATTTTATTTGTACCGTAACTTTAAATAAAAATATTCTGATTTTTTCAATGTCAATGGCTCCTTTTGGCAACAATATTTTAGAAATTTTTATTGTTAAATTTTAAAATAATATTTTATTTTAATCTTTAAATAAACAAGTAGGGAATTTTATTATTTATTTCTATCTGATTTTAGAAAATCTTGAAAGATTCTACTTTTTTTTAACATCAAAATTTTCATCAAATATTTTTTTAAATTCTTGAATAATCATAGTTAAATCACATATATTTAATCAGCAATTTTTCTCCTGTAGATTAATCGGCCGACTAGCAGCGCAGCATCTACTCCAGATGAGGGACCTTTGAAGCGGTCTATCTCTATGTCTAATCCATTAAAGTAAATATGTGCAATTTTCTTTTAGGGGATTATTTTATCAGACAAACATACATATATACCTACAAATATATCAGACGAATATATAAACATAGCTGCCAACTCTACTGGATTTTCCAGTAGACTACTCTTCTAGTCTCTACTGGTTTAATTAAAATTCTTCTGGTTTTTGTGCATTTTAGAAAATTCCCTAAAATTAAGTAAGTTTCTTAAAAAAATCCCTATTGAAATAGTATTTTTGTATAGATTATTGCTTGCTTGAATATTTAAATAAGTGTTACTGATGCATGATGAAGCAAACCTCATTAATAGAGATCAGTTCAAAACTCTTTTTTTTCTAAACTGTTCAGTTTATTTTTATTCAGAACTTTCTTTTTTAAGTTAATTAAAAAAATCTTTTAACTATATTTGATGAATTTTATGTCTATTAATATTCAAAATTTTGAGTAAACATAATTCATAACATTTCGGGCATTGTTTAATGTCAATCATAACTTGAAAATATTGTAGTTTTTTATTTTTATTTTGATGACTATAAAAGTCTATAAAACTATGTGTAAAATATTTACTACATTATGTAACAATTATCACGAAATTTATATTATTTCGTAAAATCTACTGCATTTTTTCCCCTAATCATTTTGACAGCTATCATATTGCAATATAATAGGATTAAACAATATCCTATTATATACAATATCTACAACAATTGTCTGATTTTGGTTTTCCTTTTACACATAACTTTAAATATTGTATTTAATGCAAAAGTGTTGTCTTTAAAAATAATTATTATAAAATTTTTGATGAATCATTTTTAATTATAATTTCCAAATTAATTAGATACGAGTACAGTTTCATTTTTAATTGAGTCCAAAACACACAAAATCTTTGCATGTAAAAATTACCAAGTTTTTTCCTGCACAGAGACCAGAGTTAACAGTTAGCATTAATGATTAGAAATCAGTCTTTTAAATCAAGAATTTATTTTCTCAGTAAAACAGTTAAAAATCTCCAACTGAACTGAATATCAACCTACAAAATTTTTAACAATTTTCCCAAACTTTCATTTAATTTTTTTAGGTGCTTTTTTGTTTTATTATTTGAATTCTCACATTCGATTGTTTTACCTATCCTTTTATAGTAAAGCTGATACTGATTTATTCAGCATCTTCAGCCCTAGTGCATCCAGTGCCTCAACACCTACTGGTCCTGCTGTGGGTGGGTTTCCAAGCCCCTCAAGTAGTATTCCTAACTCTAAACCTCCATCATTGGGAGAGATGGCTCAAAGTACTACAGAATCTAAAAATTCTGGTAAGCAATGAACCTCACTTTATATTTTATACTGTTTTATAGTTTCAGATTTAGAGGTTGCGGCATCAGTAAATTATATTTTGAAGATCATTCATATTTAAGTTTTATGATTTAAAAATTTTAATGAAATGTCTGCTGTTAAAAATCATTAATTCAGAAATATTTCTTTTTGTTGCATTTTTTATTTTAAATACAGTTTTTAAATTTTAATTAAATTTTTTAATGGTTTTTTATATAATTTTTTTTAAATATTTTATTACAACTATGTAATTATTATCATTAATCAAAAAAAAAAAGTTTAGAATCTAAGTTTTAGATTTTGTTTTCAAGGTCTTTCTTTAAAAATATAATAAGCTAAGTTTGCTCACCTATATTTTTACAGGTATTAGTCAAAAATGTGGTCGCATATTTTGTTGACATTTTCGTGGAAAAGTTGGAAATATTTAAGTGAAATTGTTTGCGTAACCAATTGCTTTGTTTTTCTTTCAAAATTTTGCTTGAAAATCGAAATATAATTTAGCTCCCTGACAATCACATAAAATAGAAAGTAGCATTCTTCTCCATATCCTTCCATGTTATTAAATAAGGAATTGGTGTATAGAAGAGAAATATTTTCTCAAATTAACCCAAAACAAATTGTAATTTTATTTAGATTTTACTGTAGCAACCAAAATTATACCCTGTTTTTTTATTCTTTTTGCTATTTATATTATTTGCTACAAGTTGTTATATTTATTTCATAAATTTTATGAAGTTTCATTTTTAAGTAGCCCTAGATTCTTCCTCTGAAGTTGAGCCTGAACTTGCCAATAATGAAGTACAGAAGCCATTGTCAACAAGTCGAGTAGGCACTCCTACAAGTTCCATATTACTTCATGTTCTTCCACGGCCTCCTTCCAGAAGAGCTTTCGAAGTAATTTATTTCATTGCTTTTGTTTATTTTAAGTTAAAAAGAAATTTATACATTTTTGGCTTTTTGCACTAATAAGTATTTATGTCCCAAAATTATTACAAGTTTTGTTTACTATTCTTTTTCACTTTAAAATTGTTTTTTAATTGATTAAAGAAATTTTTTGATAAAAGCTTAGTAAATATAAATAATTGGCTTTTTTTAATCTGTTTATTTTTTATCTCTATTATTATTTATATATATATTATATTTTTCATTAGATTATTTTGATTCAAAAATTATTCAAAAAAATTAAAAAAAATTATTCAAAAAATGTGTTTAACCTTTTTGCTGCTCTTTACTTAAAATTCATATTTTAATAAATAATTTGTATTTTAGTACAATTTAATAATTATGTTGAGATATAGCTTTAATTTCACAGATTTGCTCTGTCTGTTTGGCAAGTGTATGCTTGATAAAAGTTTTGAAAAATGTCTAATATTTCTAGCTTGCTTGATACTTCTTGTTTTGCGTTAGTACAAATAGTTAACTAGTTCATCATTCTGCCTTGATGAGCAGTACAAAAAAATAAAAGTTTTTTATCGACCTTTAATTCATTTAATCTTGCATTCATCTGTAGATAATTAATTTTTTATATGTAATGAAGGAATCCCTGACCCCCAAAATGCCTTAGTTTTTCTTTTTCATTTTATTTGTTTCTTCATCTCGCTTTTTTATTACAGCAGACATAGTTTGTAACATTATTATGGGTTGTTTTGGTAAATATAGCAATATTCGATTTTCATTTCATTGAATTTAAACCAATCTTTAGATTTAATATTGACTTTTAAAACAAATGTCACTTGCTACTGATATTTTGAAATGTCTGTATAATGTATAAATGTCTAATAAATAAAGATGTTGAGTTCTTTGTGAACAATAGTTTGTTCATTGTAATTTATGTTCCTAGGCAACAACGCGTGGACGCATGTCCCCTCTTCCATATGCAATGACAAGAACAGAAAGTATTAGTAGCCTAACTAGCGACTTCAAAACAACATCTATGCCTGTTGGTTCCTCCAGGGGTCCTTCTCCATTAACAATTGGAATGAGTGACACTATACCCTTAGCCATTGCATTTAACGAAATTGTAAATGCATGTTTCAAGGGAACTGATGAAACAAGGTACATTTTTAAAGAAAGTGTAAAAGAATCCTTATTTATTCTAGTTCTTTATTTCCAGATACATTTTGTTGTATAATTTTGCAATAGGTTATATTTATCTGTAAATATTATTATTACTCATATAAGTTTATTGTAATAAACTTGCTAAATTGCTTTTAAAGAATTGAGTATTTTTTAATTAAATTCTTTATAAATTTTTTTTTTATATGTCTATAACATTTAATTTTTTTCCTAAATGTACTTTATATTGTTTTTCGAACGAAAAAATATCATACTTATGAGTTAACTTTAGTTCATGAAACTCCCTATAACTAGTGAATCTTTACAATTAAAAACTTTTATTTCAAAACTTATATTTTATTTAATTTTTCAATTTGAAATTTGTGCTTGAAATATTACACATAAATCTTCCAACCTGCTTAAACTATTTATTGCATTCTATAATAAATTTTTTTTCTTCCCATTCTCAGTTTAATACAAATGGAAATAAAAAACAGCAAATTTTTTGATGAAGTGTTCCTATGTATCTTCAAATTAAACTATTGAAACTGTATTTTCTAGATTGCAACTACTTCTTTCAATATTTTAAGCTGTAAAAGCTCAAATCCATTAAAAGAAAAGTTGCAGAAAAGTTATCAGAAAAAGCCATTCTGTTTTATAACTTATTAATCATCGGTTTTAAGTGATAAGTACACAAACGTCCTTGAAATTGTTAATATGCAATTAAATAGCAGAAATTCCAGTTATGCAATCAAAAATTATTTTTAGTAAGTTTTCTTTTATGTCCATTTTAATAACATTTTTTTTTATGTCCATTTTAATAATTTTTTTTAAAAGGCTTTTTTTTAGCTTCACAATTCTGCAACACAATTAGTATTAATTTGTGTTAAAATACTCAAATTGTTTTGTATTTTTTGTGTTGTCTTTACACATGACTGCATTCAAATAATTCTTTCAGGTGTCAAGTTCGTTTAATGGGTGATATGAAAGTGTCTTTTCCGGCTGGAATTGTTCAAGTTTTAGCCAACAATCCATCCCCTGCTCATCTTGTGTTCAAATTATCCAAAGCCAGTAAAATTGAAACTATACTGCCAAATAAGCAACTCATCTCCTTGTAATTGCTTCTTTTATTCATTTTTTAAAAATGTTATTCTTTTAGGCAAAACTTGACAGTTAAATTAACTGGAATAAAACCAAAAGTTTGCCAAAAACTATTATATTAAATTTGCAGTCAATTAAAATATTTTCAATAATTCAGCTTTTGCCATGTGACCTAAAGAGAACTGGCAATTTTAAAGGTCAATTAAACAAATCAGAAGGAGATATACAATGTACAGTTTGCTTCCTTCTGTTTAGAAAACTAGAGATTTTATTTCAGTGTTTCACAATTATTTATAAATTTCAATGACAGATGGCAGTGCTTGGAAAATTATCCAAAATGCCGGATAATATTGCTAACTGAGGAAACCTTTAAAACAACTTTCTTTTAAACGACTATTTGAAGCAACTATATGATGCAATTTGAGGACGGAAAAAGCTGCCTTTAATGATAGAAAAAAATAATTATTATTGCTGCACAGGTCCTAATTATGAATTTCTTTTTTTTGGAAAGTGATTAAAAATATTTTTTGAGTGCTTAAAAAGTACTTTAATGGTGCTTATTTTTTGTTGAAAAATCTGGCTATGCACCCTGCTTTATCTTTTTTTCTTTTCCCAAATAGTAATTTTTTGAGACAGGTGAGTTTTATTATTGCAATTTTATATATGTTTCTAAGTTACAGATGCATTTACTAATTTAAAAATCTATTATAGTAAGGGAAATAAATTAGAGGCATATAGAGCTGTAATTATAATACATCTATAGTTAAAATGCCTATGAATACATAAAAGGAACAATAAGCTTGCATTTTATAATCTATTTGCATACTATTGTGGAAATACATAATTTTATACATTATAGTATTACCACATTATAGTGTTTTTTATTCTAAGTTTCTTCCCCAGTGGAAAAAATGACCCCATAAGAATTTGCTTCTGTCCAACCCTAGTGGAAAAAATGGTAGAAACTCTTTTTCAAAAAGAAAATTCAACATTTAGAATGGTTTCAACAATTAATTGCAATCTAATTTGAATAAGAATATTAATGTTTAATCTGTTGTAAATAATTTTTAAATATGTAAAGAATATAAGAGTAACAATTTGAAGAAAAAAAAAAATAACTATAATAACTTTCTTTAGAAATTAAAATAACTGATTTTTCAATTTTTTTTATATAAATCAGTATAATGAAATCTAAATTTATAATTCTATAAACAACTGTTAAAATAACAATCAAATTCCATGATTTCTACTTCATTAATAAATCACATACTAAACATGCACACTACTACAAAATGCATATTGAATTATTATTACAAATAACATACTAAATTTTATTATCAAAAGTTGTTAAATACAAATTCTTAAGCCAGCATAAATTTTTAAAATTCTGTATCAAACTTGTTCTATAATATATTTAATTTGTTTTAAATTTAAGTTATTCTTACACTACTTTTTGCTACCCAATGCTTATAATACTTATTTGTCATTTTTAATATTTTTTCTATTTCACCCAGTTTTTCCTGGAAGAAATAGGTTTCTTCCATAACAAATGCCAACCCTGCATGTAGCTAAACTGAACTTAATGGCTCAGAAAATATGTGTTGTGTAATGCCTGTTCGATTGTTTTTAAAATTATAGCCACATTACTTCACGTTCAATACATATTCCCCCACCCCTGTTGTAAACTTATCATCAATGGTTTATATCTATATGGTTTTTCTTTTGCAAAAGCAGCATATTTAAACTTCAGTTAGAACAATCAATTATTACTTGCTTATAAATATAATTTTTAAACATAAAACTACTACTAATAATAGTTTACTAATAATAATTGCACTGAGTTTTAATTTTTAGTATTTTGTTGCTGTAGAGTTTTGAATCTTATATATTTTGTTTGTGATTAATATTTTTTTAATATGTGTTGTATAATATCTTCTTGTAGAGATCCTAGTCAAAGTACAAAAGAGCAATATGTTTATGAATTTAATATGCAAGCTTTAACAGCATTACTAAGAAAGCAATATGAACAGTCTCCAACTGCATCATATTTTAACATAGATATTCTAAAATATCATGTAAGTATTAATCATTGATTATGATATTACTAAAATAAGTGATTATGTGCCATTTTATTCATTTTTTTTTTCAATTGAGAATGCAAGTATTTGTTACCAATTATTCATTACCTTCATTAACAATTATTGTTTCATAGTAGTTAGTAATTTTTTATGCTTTATTTCGCGAATTGTGTATTATTTTACTAATTTTTTTCTCAGTTCAACATAGGAAGGGTTGAAAATGGCATTCTGAAACATAAGTGGTCAATATACCAGACAAGTTGTTAAATTACTAAGGTTTTGCTTCCTTGTATTATAGAATAAATTTCATTCTTGTTAAATAAGGTTAACTTAGGCAAGTAATCAACTTACAAGGGTAGTTAAACTGACTTGTTTCACTGTAACTTTAAAAGGAAAACATCTTAATACCTAATTATTGGCAAATAATTTTTTTTCACTTAATGTATTGTTTTTTAATCCATTTGAGAAAGTATATTATAAAAACTTAGTAAATATAAAAAATTGGCTTTTTATTTATCTCTGTTATATCTTGATTATTATTTATTTCTATTATATTTTTAATTCGATTATTTTGATATAATCAACCAAAAAATGTATCTAACCCTTTTTCTGCTCTTTATTTTAAAATTTCATTAAATAATTTGCATTTTAGTACTATTTGATAATAATTTTAATTGATATAGTTTTAATTCTAATTTATGGGTGAAATTCATTGATGTATCAGAAAAAAAAGTGAGATTTATAGCTAGTTGTCCTAGGAAATTACCACATAAGTAACGGCTAAATTAATGACAGCTGTTCTATGTACTACCTTGCATTGTTATACATTATAACATGAATGATATTTTTTTTTAAATTACAAAACCTGTTTTCGATCAAAATTACTTTCATGAATTTTGGGACACCTTGCATTTGTATGCGGATAGACAAACATCTTTTACTGATCTTTGATCCTAGCATAAAAAAAGCTTATTATATTTATAATTATTGTTGATCATAATTGACGTTTCATAAATTTTTAACTTGTTTTTAAGATCAAAACTCTCCATGGAGCAAAAAGTACTCCCTTGCATTTAGTTGCTTATTGGAAGTGTGAGCCTACATCTACAGATCTGCGTATAGACTATAAATTTAATGCTTCTTCTTTATCAAATCCATCTTCTTTATCTAACATAAATATTATTGTTCCTGTAAATGGTGGTGTCACTGATGTGCAGTCTAAACCTAAAATCATATGGTAAGTCTGTTTCGGAACTCTGTCTTTATAAATAAAGTTTACTAAGGTAACTGTGAGTGCTATAACCAATAAAAAGCTATGAATTTGATATTTACTTTGAGGAATTTGATATTTAATTTTTATCGTTTTATCATTAGTAATCTTAAATCAGGTTTTATTTCCGACATTTAAATTCACAGTCTTTGTTCTGTATCTAGCCTCGTTATGAATTTGTTTTTGGTGTATATACATCAATGAATAAAATAAGCAGAATTATGATTTACTTTGAGGTGAAAACTGCTGTTGAAGTTGGTTATTAAGGAAACATATATCTTTATTAAAGAATAATTTTATTTTGATTTGAAAAGTACGGTAGGAAATACTAATATAATATTTTATAAATGTTTCTTCTTTTCATAATTTGTTTATTATATGGTTATTAGAAATATTATATTTTCTTTTGAAAAATGCCACTTCCATTTCATTGACATTTTATTTGAAATAATTTCATAGAGATAATCGAATGATTATAGAAATTGTAGTTTGTATCTAAATATAATCAGAGGTTTAAAAAATCATCACTGGTTATAAAAAAGTACTTACTTAATTCCCTTTTCCGTGGAACACTAAAGTGTTCTGGAGCATTATTTGGGATCGGCTGCTCTAAATAAAAGTTCGAGCAATTAATGTATGTTCTTTTAATTTTTTTGAAGTTATTTATATATCCAGTCAACATATTACTCATACTAGGAAATTATAAAATTTAAATCTGAAAAATAATCACAAAAGGATTAATAATAATAAAAATAAAAAAAAATATTTTGTGTAGTACTTTGTTTTAATAATTTCCAGCTAATCAATTACATTAAAATTATTTTGTCTCTTCTTTTGTGTTGTGTTAATGATAATAAAACAAAATGATACAAAACTGTGTTTATCTATGTACAGTGCACGGAATAAAAAACAGAAATTAAACACTGACAGTTTTTGATGAAATAATTCAATTTTCAATTACTAAGCTGTAACCTTTATGATTCGAGAGACTAACCTTAAACATGCTAATTACTTTTGCAAATGATTTTTTGAAGTAGTAAAACAAAATTCTCTGTAAACATTTTTTTAATGTTATGGATTTTAATTCTCAAAATAAGGAGTAGAGACAATCTAGAAAATAAGGTAACTAGGTGGAAGAATGGCCCTCTTAATCTCTTAACCTTTATTTTACTTTTTGCATATTTGGTCATATCTCACGAACTAATTAAGGGAATTATAAACTTTTCATACCTTATTATAAAACTCATTTATTCAAAAATATTTTCATGAAAAATAACATAGTTTTGTCAATTAATAAATATTTTCAATTTAATATTGATTAAAAAAAAATTTAAATTTTAAGTTGTATAAGTTTCATCATATTCCTTCTTATTCTAATTAACAATATATGAAATTTAAGCAACATCCATTAGTCTCCCAGTACTTAAATTTCAAAACACTTTTGTGCCAAAACGTCTGATCATTAAATCAAAAATTGTTAATGTGTTCTTTTCTTGCACACTGTAAATAATATGAGTAAATGTTAAAATATTTCCTCTCTCTTTTAGGAATAGTGATACGAGCCGTGCAATGTGGAAGCTAGCTGAACTTTCTCAGTCATCGGATGGAGGTGGTCTAGGCTCTCTTCGCGCTCATTTTGATTTAAGCTCAGGGCCTTCTTCAGTATGTGCATTAGCTGCTCAGTTTATATGCAATAACACTTCACTCTCGGGAGCTGAATTTGAGCTTGTTGGTTTGGGGTATCGTCTGTCTTTAGTCAAAAAACAAGTGGTTGCTGGTGAGTTAAAATTTGGTTTTTAACTGGCAGAAAATTAATCTAACTGAGAATCTTTTTTACTGCATTTTGAAAATTTGCATACAGGAATTTTTCATAAGATCCTGATTGGTGAAATATTAATACATAGCTGCCAACTCTTCCGGCTTAGCCGAAAGATTTCCGGTTTTTTATCAAAACTTCCGCCGCCTTCCGGTTTTTTATTTTAATCTTCTGATTTTCCACGATTTAAAAAAAAAAAAAAATTCCCATTTTATTTCATATTTTTTACAACAGAGCCACCGAATTTGTACCCGAACACATTTTTTAGAGCAGGAATCAAATTCTTGCATCTTCCTGGCACGTGCTCGAACAAGGGAGAAAATCAAAGCTACGACGCAGAAGTTGAAACTCACTTGGAAGCACAGCTGCATTTGAGAATCTGAAAGGCAGTGAGAACGCTCCCTAATGATAGATTGGGGAGAAAACGTTTCACTCGGCTACCGAACGAAGACGAAATTTTTTTAAAACAAATTCAGTTGACGGCATCTGGCAACAGAGCAAATGTTTACTATCATGAGGAAATCTCGTGCGTTTTTTAGCTTCTTAATCTACGGTTTTGAATCTTAGTTTTAAAAGGTAATTTAGTTAGTAGTTTATCTTAGTTTTTAGTGAAACCATTTTAAAATCACAGTTTAGGTCATCTCTTAGTGATGAGATACTAGAGAAAATATTAAAAGCTGATTATTTTTGTAAAAATCAAAATTGCTACAATGTAGCATTTGATGAAAATTTTTTAAAGAAAGCCAAATCGTGCACAAATGAAACTTCGAAAAATAATTAAAATTGATGTCCCTAAGTGTTCTTAATTGTCTTAAGATCTTTAAATTTAATTGTGTTCTGGAGAAAGAATACGTTGAAATTTTACAGCTTTTAATATCTTAAATTTTTTAGAACAAAATTTATTGTATACCTCTTATTTATTGTATTGCAATTTATTGTATACCACTTTAAAAAAATTTTAAAATTGTTTTTTAGGTAAATATCTGTGTGAATCTGATCCAGTATCTAATTATTATGGATAAAATATGTAAAGGTATCATCTGTAAAATCATTCCATTTGCCATATGCGATGAGAAATCTGTCTTCAGATGCAGTCACAAAAGTCTTTTCTTTCTAGAGGGAGCTCATCATATGAATGTAACGTTGCTGGATATTCAGAAATAGTTAAAATATTCAGAGTGAATCTTGCAACTATGGCTCATCAGAAGGCATGCACCTTAGAGTTGTATTGTTTAAGGCAGTAGTTATATTAATGTTAAAATACTACAGGCAAAACACACATTCGTAAAGAAATATTTTAATATTTTAAGTTGGCATTCTTTTAAGCATACTATTGTCAATGAACAATTTCTTTCTCAAAGAGTAAGATAAATTTTTTCACAAAAAAGAGTTGGAAATAGAAAATTAATAATAGTTTTGAAAATCTTAGTGGAATCCTTTGCCTAGAAACTACTAAGACTTGCTTAGATAGACTCAAGACTTGCCCAGAAGTTTACTTGATTTTGTCAGTCTCATCTGGTTTAATGAAAAATGTGCCTGTTTTTTTTAAATTTTTTTATTATATATTTTTGAAAAATACCCTAATTCATGAAATCTTCTAAAAGAAAATTCCTATTAAAATGTATATTTTACTCAGTTTATTACTTGTTTGAGTACTTAAATAAGAATTATTGATAAATAAAAATTGAAACGTCATTAGCAGTACCTAACATTACTTTTAACTTAACTAAAATGTACTTTTTTAAATATTTTTAAGTTTGTTTTTTATTTAAATCTCTTTATTTTTAAGTTAATTAAACAATATGCTATAACTATTTATTTGCTATCGATAAAATATTTTACATATTATGTAATAGTTGGCATGAAATCCTTATTATTTCATTTGGTAGCTATGCCGTCAATCAAAAAAGTTTTTTTTTTTTTTTTTTTTTTTTTTTTTTTTTGATTTTGTAAAACATGATTTCATTATGAATGTTACAAATTTTGACCAATACAAATTTTAGCTTTCTAATAAGAAAGGCATTAAGGAATGATATTGGTACATATAAATGATATTGGTATATATTAAGGGAAAAAATTATTGCAAGTAGGTTCAGAGAGTTAAAAATATTAATTATGTTTATCACAAGTTATGCACTTATAATTTGGATTTTTTTCTCTCAAAAATAGCCAGCATTAGTTCGCTTTTAAATTTAAAACTATACAATGATATTTTTTAATGTACTTTTGAAATAATATTGTTTTTATTCTTAGAATCTTATATTATATTATAACCTTAATTTGCACCCAAATATTGTTTAGAAAAATACATTAAATAAAAAATAAATACCTTGTTGTTTTCAAAATTATTTAAACTAATAAGATTGCAATATGGTTTAAAAGTAACATCTATTGTTTATTATAAAAGAACCCTTAAAAATGAAAGCATTAAAATTCTGCTTTTTTTTGGCTTACAATATAGATATTTTTTTCTTAAAAACTGAATTTATGTGTTTAAGTAATTGCATAGATATACAGGGTGCTCACTAAAGTTTTTATCTATCCTTTTAACTTTCAATGACAACAGCTGTATTTGTAAAGGTGGTGTTTAAGTCTAGTAAAGTGGCTGTATGCTACAAGATGAGATTGTTTACAGTACCACCTGGTGGGAAACTCCAGAGTGAGTTTTTGCATCCCGAAAACGGCATGAGATAGTTAAGGCATGAGTTATTAAGTTGTAGAACATCAAAAATAGACTTCCTATGGGTATTATCCTTCCAAGCATTAATCCAAACTTTCAGCTGCAAGCTTTTATGCATCAAAGAAATGGTTTTTTTCCATGTTATTCAATAAGAAACTAGTTGGTTGCAGAGTAGTTCATGGGCTCAACATTTGGAAAGTTTATGCAAAAATGTAACTCTTATATATCAAAAATAATAGTAATTTGTAATAACTAGTTTTTTTCCTGAAATCCTGTTTTGTCACATTTCAGGAAATCTCAAACAAATGAATTCATGCTCTATGTATTTTTTCCAAGCAATAATGTTCATAAAAATTTTATACTTCATGCTAATGATGCTCTATAATGTTTACTTTTTTCTTCATTGCTGTTTTTGATGTAAGAATACTTTTTTTTAGGATTCATGCTTTAGTGCATAGTTTCTTCACTATCCCTTGACACCACTTTAATAATTATACCTACAACCATTTGAAAGTTAAAAGAGGGTGGTTACTGTATGTATATATACAGTTTCCGATACATATGCAGTACGCACCTGAGTATCAATTTCACAGTTTGTTAGACAACTGTTCCTTAGAGAAAATATTTTGCATACTGTTCAAATTGCTACAGTTACTACAATTTTTGAAAAGTATTTTGTCCGTAAGTTATACCCGACACTATTTTACTTGTGTGAAATTTTACCTCACATAATTTGTTTTAATGACTAGATATTCTTTTATTTTTCTATTTTAACCATTTGTTGATAATAAACTGTTCTTTTACTCTAATAAAAACTTCTAAAAAAAGATCACCTGTAAAAATATTTGGAAATAACATTTTAAAAACATTTTACTGATCATCTGTTGTTATTCCATCATCTAATTTGAGGAATAATCGAACTCTCAAATCATAATTATTTTTCATTATTGTATCTATCTGAGAAAATAAAGTAACTGATCATAATATGTTGAAATTATCTTCAGTTTTGTAGATTGAAACATTTATAAATATGTAATTTAATTTAGTAATCGATTTTATCTGAATTTCTTGGGGTCTTATTTAGAAAAATTGATCTTCAAAATGTATCTATTGATACAAGTGATTGCTTTGTAAATGTGTAAATAAATTTTTTAGTATTTATCCAGTAGGTTTTGATAAAATTTCTCACTTCTGCAAACTATCCGCTTTCTGTGATATATATATATAAAAAGCTTGCCTTTGATAGGAATGATAAAAGCACATCTACACATTAGTTATACCTATTTTTCATACATAATTCATTGATTACTGAAAAGTTAGAATTTTAAAGCTTATATTGTTAAGGTGCATGCCCTGCTGCCAAAGAACAGTTGTTTTGTGAGAAATGTCTAATGTACAGTCGTATGTGAACTGCTGTTTTTTTTTTTTTTACAAATTATATATACACATATTATATATCATATGTACATAAGCTCTAGTTTTTTAACTTTTGATCTAGATTTACAATGTTATATTTTTTTGTATTTTATTTTCTGGCACTAGTATTATTAATGTTTACTACGATTGAAAAAAAAGAAAGTAATATTGTTGAATTGACTTGTGAGTTTTGAAATTTTTAGGCTATCGTTGCACTTGCCAAATCAATAAATGTTTGCTTGCACCTATCCATTTTTTTTTTAAAAAATTGAATTGTTATGTTTTATGTTTTGTTAAACTGTTATCAAAACAGAAGCTATATTATATATTTATTTTTTGTTAACTTTGAAGTTCTTATAAAACTATTTACATCTTATCAATAGAAATGAGTTGCATGTACAAAAGTGTTTTATATCTTATCAAATAATTTACTCTTAATGAATTTATTGCTTTTATTTTATTATATTATGAATTTTAGTATTTATTTATATGTTAGATGCTTAAAATTTATTTTTTAAATTCAGTGTTTTTTACCATCAACTTCTTTAATCTTGCAAACAAACTAAAATAGCATGCAGTATAGGTAATATATACAAATGTAAAATGCATTCAGCTCAAGCAGCTGCTTTGTAAAGAAATATTTCTATTTGACATTAAAGTTGATTATGAATATATTTGTTGAATTTATTACTCTTTATTATACTTTGAAAGGGATCTAGACGATTTTTATTTCATCAAAAAAGTATCAATGTTCAAATTTTTTTGATTTACATAATTTCTTAAAATCAGAGATGAGATTTTTCCGCTTTTTAGCGGAT